AAAGGTGTATGCCAGAAATGTGTCCTATCTCCATAAGTTTTCAATCTAGGTACAGAACAGATCAAGTAGAAGTCTGGGTTCTATGAGTAGTAGTGTAGCACCAAGAATGGAGGAAGACTCATCAACAACCTGCATAATGTAGATGACACACCTTGCTTGCTGAAAACTGAGGAGGACCTGAAGAATTTACTGCAAAAGGTCAAGGACTGCAGCCTTCAATATGAATCAACATCAAGAAGACATATATTCTCTCCACTGGGCCAACTGGCAGCATTACAATGGACGGTGAAGTGATTTAGATTGTTAACAGCTTTAGTTTGCTTGGATCCACAATCAATACTCTTGGTAATAGCAGCCAGGAAATCACTCAAAAGATGAATTGCACTGGGAAAGTTTGTTGTCAGAGACTTCTCCAGAGTACTGAAGAGAATTGCTATCAGTCTGGAGACTAAGGTGTACCTGATCCAGGACACTGTCTTTACAATTACATGCTATTGGGCTGTTTCCATGTTCTTGTGATAGTGACTAATGTTGCTATGAACACTGCTGTACAAATCTCCATTTATGCCTCAGCTCTCATTTTCTCAGGGTATTTTTCAAACGACTCGACGGCACATAACAACAACAACAACAACAACACCAACAGTAAAATAGCTGGGTGATATGTAATTTCTATGTCCAGCTTTTTGAGGAAGCGGCAAACTGCCTTCCAGAAAGGTTGTATCATTTTACAATCCCATCAATAATGGATAAGAGTTCCTTTCTCACCAAATCCTCTCCAACATTTATTACTTTCTGCCCTGCTACACTCTGCCACTGCTACTGGAGTGAGACGGTACCTCAATGTGGTTTTTATTTGCATTTCTCTTATTACCAGCGATTTTGAACATTTCTTCATATGTCTGTTTGCTATTTGAATATCTTCCTCTGTAAAAATTCTTTCCATGTCTTTTGCCCATTTTGTAATTGGGTTATCAGTCATTTTCTGGTGGAGGTCCAGCCCAAATGTCCAACCACAAATGAATGGATTGAGAAATTATGGTACATTCACACAATGGAATACTATGCAGCTTGCAGGAAATATGATTTTGTAAATTATTACCTAACTTTAGAACATTACACTGAGTAAACTAACTCAATCCCAAAGGACAAATATTGTATAAAGTCATTATTGTAGAATGAATATAAGGATTTGAGGTGACTGGGCTGAGGGTGGAAGCAGAAGGATAAGGATGTGCAGGTGGAGGGGAGATTAATCATGGAGTTTTACCATTTGATGGGTAAGGGGGATGAGGGAAATTAGAAGAATCTCCAAATCAATGCATTCGAATTTTGTAAATAAATGAGTGTGGGGTTTGTTTTGGGTTTTTAAGGAAAACTGGATAATGACTAAGGACGATAGAAGGAAAATGGGTGTTTTTTTAATTGTGGTGCTGGAGAAGAGTATTGAGAGTATGAACTATACCATGCACTGCCAAGAAAACAAACAGGTTTGTCCTGGAGAGGGAGAAAAAAGGCTGCTCCTTGGAGGTAAGGATTCTGAAACTATGTCTGACATACCTTGGGCATGTTACAAGGAGAAATAAGTCTTTGGAGAGACACATTATGCTTGGGAGGGTGGAGGAATGTCACAAGAAAGGAAGACCCTGGATGAGATGGGTTGACTCAGTGACTGGGGTTAAAAGGGGTAAGTGTGTCAGAGATAAGGTTGGCTCAGGATAGAGCAGGGTTCAGAGCTGTTGTAACCAGGGTCACTATGAATCGCAGGGGGTATGACGATACATAACAACAAACATAAACTCTAAATGGACAATAAGTGTTGAAAGAAACTTGACTGCTTCTAAAAAGTCCTTCAACAATGTTCTCAAAAGCACTACTAGGAATAGAAGGGCTCCACGTAGGAGAGATAAACATGAGTGCTACTGAGTCTGAGATGCAACTGTGACATCCTCAGAAACACAGTATTCAATTGTAATTCAGAATTCACTGAACTGGAGCTCAGTGGCCTAGTGGTAAAAAGCTGTGCTGCAAGTTTGAAGGTCTGTGGTTTGAAGCCACTAGCCGCTCCACGGGAGAAGAATGGGCAATCTCCTTCCATGTGATTAACTGTCTCTGAAAACCCATTCTTCAACGAGATGGAAAAGGCAATCTCCAATTTCGTATGGAATGGAAAAAAGCCCCGAATAAGCAAAGCACTCCTTAAGAATAGAAGAACGGTA